GTGTGTGTGTGTGTGTGTGTGTGTGTGTGTGTGTGTTTCAGAGAGAGGTTTTTGCTATAGGGCGTGTATACTCGCCAGAAAGACAGACAGACAGAAAATGAGAAATCAACCCCCAGGGAGAGGGCCGCACCACAATCCCTTGTTTGCAATCCCTTCTCCTGAGTAAGCCACTAGGTCTAGGACTCGAACCGTGGTCAACTACACGGGAGCCCAGCAACACAGCCATTACGCCAACCTTTGGTTTTGAGTCCAGCTCTCCAGCCTTCTCAAGAATCCACTTCTAAGTAAGCAATCCCCCCTCCCACATATGGCAGCCTCCTGGTACTAATTTGCATTGTGCTAATTAGCCTCATTGTCAGTATTAAGTGCCTCTTACCCTGGTGGATAATTACCTCCTTAACTGTGGAGCTGGGGGTGGTGGGAGGCCAAAGTTGCCCTAGGCTGGCCCTGGGCTAGGTAGGCTTCTGGCTCACACACTGTGAAGTGCAGGGGGGAAAAGCAGAGGGTTTTGAATCAGAAGAGTTGGCTCCAGAAGCAATGTAGAGACAGAACCCAGCATTCCTAGGTGGCTGGGAGGCCCTCAGAGTCAATGGACCTGTGCAAAGTGTTTATTCATCCTCCAGGGTCCTACATTTTGTCTTTCTTTCTTTTCTTTTTTTTTCTTTTTTTTTTTTGGAGAGGTTTTTGCTATAGGTCGTGTGTGCTTGCCAGAAAGTTGGCATAATGGCTACGTCGCTGGACTCCCATGTAGTCGACCGCGGTTCAAGTCCTGGACTCGGTGGCTTAATCTCATGCCGGGCGTGCGCGTGTGCGTGCGTGCCCAAGATCCAGAGAGGAGAATGGAGGAGAAGGGATTGCAGCGTGGCCATCCCCCCTGGGGGGGTGATTTCTCGCTTTCTGTCTCTCTGTCTTTCTGGTGAGCGCACGTGCCCTAAAACAAAAACCTCTCCAAGGAAAGGGAAAAAAATAAAAAGAAAGACAGAGAGAGAGAGAGAGAGACAGAGGGGCAGGGACAGAAAGTGAGAAATCACGCCACCCCCCCAGGGGGGATGGCCATGCAGCAATACTTTCTCTTCCATTCTCCTCTCTGGATCTTGGGCACACACTCACACGCGCCAGGCATGAGTTTAAGCCACTGGGTACGGGACTCAAACCACGGTCGACTACACCGGAGTCCAGAGACAGCCATCATGCCAACTGCCGGCTCCAATCTTTCATCTTTCTTAGTATCTTTTCTTATTATTACTTTTAGAGAGATTATTGTAAAAGGGCTCATGCACTCACCGGGACACAGAGACAGAGAGACAGAGACAAAGTGAGAAATCACCCCCCCCAAGGGGGATAACCATGCTGCAATCCCTTCTCCTTCATTCTCTTGGGATTTGGGGCATGTATGCAAAAACTTGCCTGGCATGAGTTTCAAGCTGCTGGGTCCAGGACTTGAACTGTGGGCCATGTGCGAGTCCAGTGCCCTAACCACTACACTATCTGCTGGTCCCAATTTTTCATCTTATTTTTAGTATTTTAACTTTTCTTGATACCTAGTCCAGGGTTCTCTCCACCACATTCTTTATGTACAACTTTACATACATACATATATACATAAATGAAAGTAGAGAACAGGATAACAAACCCTCATGTGTCCATGTATTTCTAAGTATATCCACATGCACATACTCCAGTGTCAGTCACTATCAGCATGGGGTCAATCTTCTCCAACCCCAACCCCCAACTAACCCCCAGATTCCATCACCTCTTGAGGACTGAGTGGTCATTTATCTAATCCCTGTAATCTTGATTTGCTCATTCATTTAGTTTTCTGTTTTTTAATTGCCAGAGGGTAAGTGTACCAGCCAGAGAGAGAAGGAAAGGAGGAAAGGAGAGGAAGAAAGCACCCTCTCATGAATTGTGGTCATAACACAATCTCTTCTCTTCTATTTCTCTATCCTGTTGGGATTTGGGGCACACTCACACACACACCTGGCATAGTTTTCAAGCTGCTGGGGCAGGATTTGAACTATAGTCAACCACGTAAGATCCAGTTCCCTTAACCACTAGGCTATGGGACTGGTCCTCATTTATTCATTTATTAGTATCTATTAAAAACTCAATGAGTCAGGCATCAGTAAACTTATTGAAGATTTAGTATATGCCAAGTCATTTGCATGCATAATTTTATTTTACCTTAACCTCCCTATTATTATCTGTTTTACAGATGACAGTGTAGAGCCTCAGAGAGGTTAGTGTTTTGCCTCAAGCGCTAACTTCAAATTCTGTGTGTTTCCCTACTATCCCATGGCCTTACCTTTCAGCAGTGCCTACTCAGAGAACAGATGCCTTCATTATTAACTTGTTACTGGTCCTGCATGAGTGCCAGGCCCTGTGCTGAACAAGATTGACATCATCTCTGCCTTCAAGGAGATTTAACATTCATAACGTTTTAATGTGCATGTACAAGGTATTAAATGTTGCCATCGTAGTGAAAGGAAGACTTCATTGAGAAAGTGATTTAGACATTAGGACAAAACAAAGGACAATGAGGCTGTGCAGGGCCTGGAGGCTGGGAATATTCCAGGGAGGTCAAACAGTTAAGTGCAAAGGCTGAGGGAGAGTATGTTGAACACTGGGAACTAACTGTGAGTGGAGTGTTTTAGTATGAGCAGAGCACGAGAGGCTGAATAGCAGAGAACTGAAAAACAAGGCAGGAGAAACTGACAGAAATCTTTGAATGCCACACCTTAGACCTCAGACTGTACTCAGAAGACAGTGGGGGGCAGCAAAAGGTCTTAAATAAGAGTGACATTAGCTTTGAGGTTTAGAAAATCATGGTGGTGGAGGGAATAA